TTCTGGTTCACCCACTGCCGCAATGGTACCTACCGTTGGTGTACATCCGACGTTATTTTGCGGTGGCCTTTCAACCAAGCCACTTAGAGCGCTTGTTAGCCATCTTTCCAGTAGCTCTTTGACCGCTGAGGGTGCTTCCGTAGCCGCAGATGTGGAAGCTCCTTTTTCGTGCAAGATCGTCAGGCCTTCGGATGGGGAAGGTGAGATCTCTGCACCTGGTGTGATGCTAGGGGTTTCATTCAGAATGCCATCGTCACAGGCCTCGTTGAGAGGGCCTAGGAGATTGGTAGTGACACCCAATATGGCTTTCGATCTTGTGTTGTTTTCGGCCATTTCCTGTTTTTGAGTGGTGTAGAGAGTAGTAGTTGGTTGATCTCTAGGTGGATACTATGGTTTTGATTCTCGAAATCCCCACAGACGGCGCCAAATTGTTTGGCTCAAAAGTTAACGATGTACTTTGTAAGCGATAAAACAATCAAAAAATAGAGAATGGGTAAATCATAATCAAATATAATAAACCTAGAGATGCAAAGATGATAATATTGTTGTAGATCTAGTGTTGCAAAGATGATAATGTATGTTCATAAGATATTTTCGTCAGAAGTAGAGATATAGAGAGAGAAAGACAGAAAAGGAGAGAGTTGTATTAGATCAGCTGCCCCCTTTACAATGTGGAGGTCCCCTTTATATAATAGGAGACCTTCCTCGAACGAATCAAAAAGTTACAGAGATAGGTAACGTCTCCGTAGTGTAGACGCTGAGTTCTAAACGACGTCGCTTTGGTCCTCACGGCCGAGTCGTACCCGCTACGTTTAGTCGGCGTACACTCATTGGGCGTACCTACTGGCGTAGAGATACTGAGGGTCAAATTTGACCCTATACATAGACCAAAGTGATGCCCAACTTGTTTTAAAATGGAATAGGACTACAGAGTATTGGGCAACAGGTTCATGGAATGGCCATAGATTTAGCTCAGTGCCCGACAAGTTGAACTCAGTATACAATTACAGCTATATTGACAATGAGAACGAGTCATATTTTACATATTCCCGTCATATTAGTAGTACAATTACATCAAGATTCATCATGGATGTCTCAGGACAAATTAAGCAACTAACATGGTTGAATAATTCTGCTGGTTGGAATGAATTTTGGGCTCGACCTAGTCAACAATGTGAGGTTTATGGTTATTGTGGGGCATTTGGTGTTTGTGATAATGTTAATTCACGCTGCAATTGTTTCAGTGTTTTCAAGCCAAGATCAGATAGAGAATGGAATTCGAATGATTATTCGAGTGGCTGTGTAAGAAATGTAGAGCTACAATGCAGCGCCTTTACTGTAGACAATGATAGTTTCTGGATGAATTCAAGCATGAGTTTACCTGCTTCTCCAGATACTAATATCACTGTTGAGGAAGCCTCAAAGTGTAGATCTACTTGTTTTAATGATTGCTCTTGCACTGCTTATACTTATGATGGTTCTGATACCTGTTCAATTTGGACTGGGGATCTCTTCAATCTGCAACTGCTCAGCAAAAATGAAACAGGAAGAATTATCTATGTCAAACTTGGCTCACCACAAGGTTAGAATAACTAAGCTTAATTCTTTATCTAATAATGGTAAAAAGCACTTTGTTGCGGATGGCATTCCTTGTAATTAACGTTAGCACTTAATAACAATGTGTTATGAACTTCCGTCTTTTCTTTTCATTAGCTATTTTGTAATAGCAGTCTGAAACCTCCCTTTTCTTATTTTCCATTTTGTTCCATGTTTTATCCTTGTTTTCCCTAAAGATTGAGAAACATTCAGTTGTACTTCCTCAGGTTGGTTGAATATCATCTTATCTATACATCTAGTAAGTATGGATCCATTACACAATGATTCTTCTTTTCCTATTTCTTTGTTGAGCAAAGTAAAAATTAAGCTTGAAAGAAATTCTTAAAACGATAACGATAGGTTCTGAGGTACACTGAATATTTGCATCAAGTCCTTCAAGATAGAGTTAAAAGTATCTAACTTGTTTTTGGTTCTCTACTTTCAGCTCAAACTAAGGCTAAGAATCGATGCAGCTAAAAGTTATCCTTTCATCCATAACAGCTTTTATGGTTCTAATCATAGGCAGCTTTAGCTACATTTATTATAGAAGAAGAATGGCAAAAGGAGCAGGTATTTGCTGAATGAATCTCACTCTGGAAAATATTCTGTTATATATTTATTGATTTAATTTCAAATGACTTTCTCAATCACATTGGGGTTACTTTGTTTTCCTTTGTCTTTTTTTGTCCTTTCTATTGCAGATAGAAGAAAAGGTAATCAAGGGATACAAATATCTCACTGGCACAAAGTTAACGGAGAAGCAAAAGTATTGAGGAACGAAAACAATGAAGTCATTGATGTTCCATACTTTCATTTGGAGACCATTTTGGCAGCTACAGACAATTTTTCAGATGCAAATAAGGTCGGAGAAGGAGGATTTGGTCCTGTTTACAAGGTGAAAATTTCAGTCTGACACCTCTGTGAACTGGTACGGCCACATTGACCTATAGTAATGAGATGAAAAACATTTGGCAGGGTATGTTTCCAGGCGAAAAAGAAATTGCAGTGAAAAGGTTATCTACTCATTCAGGACAAGGCATAGATGAACTTATGAATGAAGTAACTTTAATTGCAAAACTTCAGCACCGAAATTTGGTGAGGCTATTAGGCTATTGCATCAATACGACGGAACAAATATTACTTTATGAATACATGCCGAATAAAAGTTTAGACACATTCATATTTGGTAAGTCAGCTAAACTAAGTTCTTTATTCTCTAAGTCACATGTTTTATATAATGATTTAGCTTTACTGATGCCATCAGTTCTTTGACATGGTAACTATGCAAGATGGATCACTTAGCACATTACTGGATTGGAAGAAACGTTATGACGTCATATTAGGTGTTGCACGCGGTCTTGCTTATCTACACCACGATTCACGACTGCGGATCATTCATAGAGATTTAAAAACTAGTAACATTTTGTTAGATGAGGCGATGAATCCGAAAATTTCGGATTTTGGTTTGGCAAGGATTGTTGAAGGAACAAGAACTGAAGCAAAAACAATGAAAGTAGTGGGGACCTAGTAAGTATTACATCCCTTCCTATCGTTTATTTCTTGCAAATGATCCTAATAATGGGTGTTTGGTTATTACTTTTCGGTTTTGGTAAAATTCTCATGCTTAACACTTTGTTCACCTGGTGCAATCCAGTGGCTATATGTCACCTGAATATGCACTGAATGGATATTTTTCCATCAAGTCAGATGTATTCAGTTTCGGGGTAGTCGTACTTGAGATAGTCAGTGGAAGGAGGAACAATGGATATTATCAATCAGAAGAAGCCTTAAACTTGATATGCTATGTAAGTGAAGAAACTTCCCAATACTTAATATGTATATCTTTTTGTTAGCTTTGATTCTCTGATAGAAAGTTTTCACAGGCATGGAAATTGTGGATAGATGGTAATGCAATACAGTTGATAGAGAAATCATTACTTGAATCATGCAACAGAGAGGAAGTGGTAAAGTGCATTAGTGTTGCACTCCTGTGTGTACAAGAAGATCCAAATAATCGTCCTAACATTTCAGATGTCATTGTAATGCTGGGAGGGGACGGTATGAGTCTTCCTAGACCTAATCGACCAGCCTTTGTAATAAGGACACACACGTTGATAATAGGTGAATTTGACTATAATCACACCTTAAATAATCACCTTCTTGTGTAGTTTTAATGCTAAAAGTGATAACAAAATGCTCTTATTAGTGCTTTTCATGATTTGCAGGTGATATATGTATAAGGAAGGCTAAGGAGCAGTTTTGGAGTCAAAATTGATGAAAAAGAGGCCAACTGTGAAATTTCCCAAGTGAACCATGCAAAACAGGCCGAAGATTCAGAGCACTTCCACCGCGACCGCGGCAGAACCGCGGTGGAAAGCAGCTGCAGAATTTCAAGGATTCCGCGAGGGTGTTTGGCCGCGGTTCTACCGCAACCGCGGCAGAACCGCGGCAGGCGCAGACACTTTAGGGACCAAAGTGTCAATTACGGGATTTTTAGACCTAAACCCTATTTAAAACATTAGACTTCGCCCAAGAGAGGCATGTATTGATTTTTAAGGTTTCTTAGCAAGGAAAACCATTGTGAGAGAGTACTCTAAACATCTTTCTTCTTTTCTTTTGATTTTTATGATGAATTCAATCTTAGTTTATTTTTCCATAGCCATGAGTAGCTAAATTCCTTGTCTAAGGTTTTGATGGAACCTATTGGGTGATGAACTTCTTATTTATGTGAATACAAATTGCCAGTTTAATCTTTATTTGTTCAACTTCGTGTTCGTTGTAGTTAATTGACAGGATCCTCAATTAACTGTGCCTATTTAGTGTGCATAACTTGGAAAAGAGTGCACATTTAGGTTATTGTTGAACAACACTACTCCTAGATTATTAAAGGAATCTATAATTGCGGGTTTAAAGGCGGGATTAGGGATAACAAAGCCTTTGGTGTAATCTAAAGTGAATCGTGCTAAATAAAGTAAGCTAGTGTATCTTGGGAGAGTGCAATAGTAAATTACTGTGATTACTCGGGAGAGATTTGCGGTAAGATTAGCGTTCATGATTGATAGAGATGTGTGAGTAAATTTGTATGAGCATAAACAGAAGGGATTCCATCAATAGGGGAAATCATTGCCTTAGCATTTCCTCATAATTGTTTACAACCTCATTAGTTTAGTTTACAACTATTTAGTTACTTGCAAGCTAGTCGTTAAAGAACATTCAACTGAGATTTGAATATTTGGGAAGCTGGTTCTGAAGAATTAGTGGGTCTGAAGATAGTAGTTGATAGGTTAACTCTCTGTGGATTCGACCCTGGGCGTAATACTCGGGTTATATTTGCAACGTCTGCTTAGTCCTTTTTATAAGGCATAGTTGGGCGTGATCAAATTTTGGCGCCGTTGCCGGGGAGTTAACGGAATTATCAATTGCCATTGACAGAAAACAAGGATTCTTATTGTAGTCAGTCTTCTCTCTACCAACTTTTTCATTGAAAATTTGACGGTTGTTGATCTGGGTGCGCAGGTGTATGCCTAGAAATTCTACGAGGACTGGAGAACTACTTGAAGGATTCTCAGACCCCGAGAAGACATTCCGGGCATTGAATCGTGCCAACAAAAGACTTCAACAACCCCAACAAACACAACAATTCGAAATTGACATGGGCGACATAAACGATCCCAATTGGAACGTCAGGAATGAGCAATTGGCACCTCCTGTGCCTGAGGGTGCACTATATGACTGGGCATAACCCACAGCTGACAATTTGGCCACTGCCATTGTTGTGCCCTCAATACAAGCTGAATCGTTCCAGATCACAAATAACATGCTACACTTGTTGCAGAACAAAGGACTCTTTTCTGGGACACAAACAGAAGATCCTCAGCAACACTTAAAGAACTTCCTGTCTATATGCAAAACCCAAAGGCAACCCAATGTGACTCCGGAAGCAATCAGGCTATTATTGTTTCCATTCTCGGTGATAGGAGTTGCTCAGGTTTGGCGAAACTCGCTTCCCATAAACTCTATAGCAACTTGGGATGAGTTGGTCAAGCAATTTCACAACAAGTTCCATCCGCCCAACAAAACTGCTCAACAAATTGATGAGATTGTGAGCTTCAAACAGATACCAATGGAGACACTACACGAGACCTGGGGCAGGTTTAAAGGAATGTTGGTTATGTGTCCCCACCATGGTGTTCCAGAACAGATGTTGGGACAACGGTTTTACATGGGACTGTCAAACAGCTTGAAGAATATCGTTGATGCCTCGACTGGTGGGGCATTCTTGAGCAAGACTTGGAGAGAAGGTCAGAATTTGCTCGACAAGATGGCGCAGAATTCGGGTTGGACATCTAGGAATGCACCTATCACTCCAGTGGTGCACTCAGTGCCTCTTGATCCTTCCAATACAATGGCTGAAAATATGGCGACTCTCTTGACACAAATGAGCATCCTCACCAAAAAGGTGGAGGAATCAGGGCAGAAGCAGCAGGTTCATATAGTAGATACTACCAATGGGGGCTTGTGCACATCTTGCATTAGCCAGCCAATTGGTAATCCTTGGAATACAGAGCATGATCATCATCAGCAGCACCCTGAAGATATGAACTATGTGGCTAACTATGGGGGTCAGAGGCAAGGTAATCAGAACTGGGTTCAGTAGACTCAGCAGCAGTACAGGCCACCGCAGCCACAGTATAACGCCGGAAACATGGGAGGCATGAGACCCCCCAACAACATGGCACCGTATCCTAGACCACAGGGGTACAACAATCAGCAGCAAGGGTATCACCCACCTCAGCAACAGCAGGGTGGAAGACAGGAAGACGGGTTTGCAAGACTTGAAGCAATGATGCAGCAGGTTATTGGGTCCAATGCTAAGATAAATGAAAGGGTGGATGCACATGATGCAGCTATCAAAAATATTGAGGCGCAAGTGGGCCAGATTTCAATGTCACTTAACAATCGTCCTCAAGGGACATTACCTGCAGATACCCAAATCAATCCTAAAGATCAGGGCCCAAAGCAGCTGATGGCGGTGAGTCTTCGGAACGGTAGGGATCTAGATGTTGAGCAAGAGAGAGCTCGAGAGAACATACAGGCTGAGACACTCATTCCAGTGCCCATTGAGCTGGATGAGTCTACGGGATTGACAGAGGTAACAGTCCAGCCCGCTCCTAGAGAAACGAATATGCCGCAAGAGACTGAGGCAGTAGCTGAGCCAGTAGTTGAAACAGTAGCTGAGAAAGAGAAATCTCAAGTGATTGGGAAGAAAAGACCTCCTGCACCATTCCCACAAAGGTTGGCCAAACATCAAAAGGATGAGCAGTATAAAAAGTTCCTGGAGATGCTCAAACAAATCCAGGTAAACATTCCACTGATTGAAGATTTAAAGGGATGCCGGGATACGCTAAAATGATGAAGGACTTGATGTCTCGGAAATTTGATTTTCAAGACTTGTCGACAGTGACACTTACTCAGACCTGTAGTGCAGTGGTATCTAGACCTGTTGCTGAAAAGCTATCTGATCCAGGTAGTTTTACAATTCCATGCACTATTGGGAACTATGCCTTTGCTAAGGCACTCTGTGATTTAGGGGCCAGCATTAATCTCATGCCCCTGGTTATTTATAAGAGGTTAGGCATTGGGAGAGCTAGACCTACCTCTATGTTGTTGCAGCTGGCCGACAGAACTGTTAAGCGTCCATTTGGGATCCTTGATGATGTGCTTATTCAGGTGGGGAAATTCGTGTTCCCTGCAGATTTTGTAATCTTGGATTGCAAAGTGGATGAAGAAATTCCTATAATTTTAGGACGACCTTTCTTGGTCACGGGGAGAGCTTTGATTGATTGCGAGACTGGGGAGCTTAAGATGAGGCTCAATGATGAAGAAATTATATTCAATGTGCAGAAATCAATGAGGCGACCAAGTGAGTTCGCAAATTGTTCTCTTATTGATGCAGTGGATGTAATTGTAGAGTCTGATGATGAGGCGTTGACGGTTGAGGATCGCCTTATTGCATGCTTGACAAATTTGGATGAAGTGAATGGTGAGGATTTGGCGGAATGGGTGTTGGCACTGGAAGGTAGAGGGTTCTGGGAGAGAAATCTGGAGTTTGAGCCCTTACACTTAGAAAAGAGAGAGACCCCTCCAGCTAAGCCATCCATCGAGGAACCCCCTAAGCTGGAACTGAAGCCATTGCCAACCCACCTCAGGTATGAATTTCTGGGTCCTGACTCCACATTACCTTTATTATCTCATCTGGTTTGTTAGATGTGCAGGTTCAACAACTTCTATAGGTACTAAGGGAGTGCAAAACTGCCATTGGGTGGACCATGGCAGACATCAAGGGGATCAGCCCTGCCTACTGCATGCACAAGATTCTGCTGGAAGAGGGGCACAAACCTTCCAGGGAACATCAGAGAAGGCTGAACCCGAATATGAAGGAAGTGATAAAGTGGTTGGATGCGGGAATCATTTTCCCAATCTCTGACAGTAGCTGGGTTAGCCCAGTTCAATGTGTGCCTAAAAAGGGTGGCATGACGGTGGTGAAGAATGACAACAATGAACTTATCTCAACAAGAACCGTCACAGGCTGGAGAATCTGCATGGATTATAGAAAGTTGAATCTAGCCACCAGGAAAGACCACTTCCCACTTCCCTTCATTGATCAAATGCTGGATAGATTGGCAGGGAGGTCACACTTTTGCTTCTTGGATGGGTACTCAGGTTACAATCAGATCTCCATCGCCCCTGAGGATAGAGAAAAGACCTCCTTCACATGCCCGTACGGAATTTATGCCTTCAGGAGGATGCCCTTTGGCCTATGCAATGCACCCGCCACATTCCAACGGTGCATGATGGCCATATTTACTGACATGGTAGAAGATATAATGGAGGTGTTCATGGATGACTTCTCAGTGGTGGGGAACTCATTTGAGGACTGCCTAGTGAATCTGACGCGTGTGCTGAAACGGTGCATCGAGACTAACTTGGTTCTGAATTGGGAAAAGTGCCATTTCATGGTACAAGAAGGCATAGTCTTGGGGAACCGGGTGTCAAGCAAAGGAATAGAGGTTGATAGAGCAAAGGTTGATGTCATAGCAAAGCTGCCGCCGCCAACTTCAGTCAAAGCCATAAGAAGCTTTCTTGGACATGCCGGATTCTACCGGAGGTTCATTAAGGACTTCTCCAAAATTGCCAACCCTCTCTGTAAGTTGTTAGAAAAAGATCACCCTTTTATATTTTCTGATGAATGCAGGGTAGCTTTTGAGGAGTTGAAGCAAAGGTTGGTCACAACACCCATAATTGCTGCCCCTGACTGGGAGCAACCGTTCGAATTGATGTGTGATGCCAGTGACTACGCGGTGGGGGCAGTGCTGGGCCAGCGGAAGGACAAACTGATGCACCCAATCTACTATGCTAGTAGGACGCTGAGTGGAGCCCAGTTGAACTACATAGTGACAGAGAAGGAGATGCTAGCTGTGGTATTTGCTTTTGACAAGTTTCGGTCCTATCTAATAGGATCCAAGGTAATCGTATACTCTGACCATGCAGCTCTTAGGTACTTAATAGAAAAGAAGGACTTTAAGCCACGCCTGATTCGTTGGGTGTTGCTACTGCAAGAGTTCGATCTTGAAATTCGTGACCGCAAAGGCACTGAAAATCAAGTCGCTGATCACCTATCACGACTTGAAGGAGCTGAGAATGTGGTGGAAGTGGAGGAAATTCTGGAAACCTTTCCAGATGAACAACTGCTCGTTACCACTCATCAGGAAGCGCCTTGGTATGCAGACTATGCTAATTACCTGGCCAGTGGTATTGTTCCTCACGACCTGTCATCGGTCCAAAGGAAGAGATTCTTTCGCGAAAGCCAATGGTATTACTGGGATGAGCCCTACTTGTTTAGAATATGCCTTGATAACATGATCCGGAGATGCGTCCCCGAGATCGAACAATCTTCTGTTTTGCAGGCCTGTCACGTTTCAGCGTATGGCGGTCACTTTGGAGGCATCAGGACGGCAGCTAAGGTGCTAGAGGCCGGATTTTTCTGGCCAACGGTATTTAAGGATTCTCATTTATGGGTCAAGAGTTGTAATGAATGTCAACGCACCGGGAACATTTCCCGGCGTCACGAGATGCCCATGAACCCAGTTCAAGAAGTGGAAGTGTTTGATGTTTGGGGGATAGATTTCATGGGTCCATTTGTCAGCTCCTATGGCAATAAATACATTCTTGTTGCTGTAGATTACGTGTCCAAGTGGGTGGAAGCTGCTGCATTACCCACCAATGATGCTAAGGTGGTAGTCGGGTTTCTAAAGAAGAACATATTCAACCGCTTTGGGACACCACGTGCAATTATCAGCGATGGAGGAACTCATTTCTGTAACCGGGCCTTCGAGAAGTTGTTGGCTAAATATGATGTGCGCCACAAGGTGGCTACTCCGTACCACCCACAGACCAGTGGACAGGTTGAGGTGTCCAACAGAGAGATCAAGAGCGTATTGACAAAAACTGTAAATGCTACAAGAACTGATTGGTCAAGGAAGCTGGATGATGCGCTATGGGCTTACAGGACAACATTCAAGACACCAATTGGTATGTCACCATATAAGTTGGTGTTTGGGAAGGCCTGTCACCTACCTGTAGAACTGGAACATAAAGCGTGGTGGGCACTGAAACAGCTGAATTTAGACTTGGAAGCTGCGGACACGTCGAGAGTCACGGAATTACATGAGCTAGAGGAGTTCCGGTATCTTGCTTTTGAGAGCACAAGGCTATATAAGGAGAGAATGAAGAGGCTTCACGATCAGAACATCATTGAACGAAATTTCAAACCTGGAGACAAGGTACTACTTTATAACTCATGACTGCGGGTATTCCCAGGAAAGCTAAAGTCAAGGTGGTCTGGACCATTTCGCGTGGTTGAAGTGTTTCCTTCCGGAGCTGTGGAAGTTTCTACTGATGATGACTCTCGTACATTTAGAGTCAATGGTCAGCGGTTGAAATGGTATGGGGGCATGAACGAGCCTAAGGAGATGACCGAGCTGCATTTGAATGAACCCCAGAGGTCGAGCGAACCTTAATTTCGCTCACTTGAGTCGTGTCGCGACGTTAAATCAGGCGCTACGTGGGAGGCAACCCATGACATTGTTGTAATTGTAACCTTTGTAATCTAGTTTAAAAAAAAAAGGCGTTAGAATCAGAACAGGCGTTCTACCGCGGTTCCACCGCGAACACACCCGCGGAACCTCACTGCCGCGGTTCCACCGCGAAAGCGGCAGAACCGCGGCAGGTCCAGACGCGGTCAGGTATTGTGTTATTTTAAATTTTTTTTTTCTTTCTTTTCTTTCTTTTCCTAATTTTTTTTAAAAACACCCCCCACCTAAATACCCCTTATTCCGCCCCAAAACCCCCATTCCCCTCTTTCTTTCTCTCTCTCTTCTTCTTCTTCTTCTTCTTCTTCCACACCATTCATCCCCAACCCACACTCTCACCACCTCCATTTTTCTCCTCTCTTCAACTCAAGTAAGTTCTTCTCCTCTCTCTCTATTTCTTTATTTTCTAAGTAGTGTAATTTGTTAATATTGTAGTTGTGGTTAAACCCTAGTTAGGATTAGTATAGTCATTTCAATTTTTTGCTTTCTTGTATGATTACTATGGATATTATTGTTGTAGTTAATGTTTGGAGGGTTTGTGGTGCCACATTAGTTGGGGTCTCCATTATAATATAATTGTGCAATTGTTTTGGTGGTTTGGAGACCTAAACTAGTTTTATGGTGTATATTGGTATTGGGTCATATGTTGCCCATAAATGGTAGTACTATGTTGTATATTTTTGGGGGTGTTCTAAGCCCGACTTAGGTTTGGGGTGTTGTACAGGATGGTTATTGTTGTATGGTGACTTGTTGGGTTAATAGATAATTGTGTTGTAGTTTTGTTAGCATAGGTGCTCATTGTTGGAGAATGGTGTTGGTCTTTTGGTGGTGTTGTATATAAGGGATAATATTGAATGGAATAAGTGTGGGGTGTATGTTGCCGGATGTGGTACTGAAATGGTGGAGCTGTTGTAGGGTTGGTTATAGCTGGTGTCATTGGGTGTTGAAGTCTGAGTAACCACCTTATTGGCATTAGCTAATGCAATTGGTTGATGGTTTGTTAACTGTTTTCAGGATTAATGGCTCCCAAAAGGAACAGGCGCTCTGGCGGTCCTTCCCACCGACCTGCTTATGATGAATCTAGATTCCAATCGGAACAAGCTGAGGATGACTTCCATGCCAAAGCTAATAAAACGTTCATTCAAGAAATCCCGATTGATCGGGCTGTCCTCCGAGTTGAAAAAGTGGAGATGTATGAAGAGATTCGGCGGCGGGAAATGGAGTTCCTTTTTGCTGACCCTGAACCTGTCAACAAGATGTTGGTTCGTGAATTTTATGCAAATTGCCCATTGAATTTGGGTAGGGATTTGATTGTGCGGGGTACGGTGGTCAGTGCTCAGATTCCAACAATTCGCCGGGTGTTGAGGTTACCTCCATTCACCAGCGATGTTGACTACTATCATGACAGGCCCGGGGTGACATGGGAGGTCATGACAGATGTGCTTTGCACGGAGGGGCGACCTATTTGGCTAAAGGAAGATATAACTCTCAACTCTAACTCCTTCACTCACCTAGCTAAGTGTTGGTTGACGGTTATCTGTAGCAGGTTCCTGCCTTCTAGCAACACCACGGACGTGAACTTCAACAGGGCATTGTTGACTTGGTGCTTTATAACAGGGAAAGATTTCGATGCAGCACGGATAATTGGCGATGAAATGGTCTTACGGGGACCGCTGCTGTCTAAGGGATTCTACTTCCCTTCCTTGGTAACCACGCTATGCTTGCTGAGGAACACTCCTACTAACCCTGCTGATGGTGACTTGCCCCCAAAAGCAGCTTTCAAAGCTTCCAGTATCAGAGTGGGGAGGGGCACTCGCACTACCATTGAGATTGATGATGAGGAAGACGATCCGGTCCCTATGGCACAATCTAGGCGGTCTGTAGACAGTGCTGGACCCTCTTGGCGCTCTCAGTCTGGAGCGGACCTATCTCGCTCCCAGTCCTCCCGGCCTATGTTGCGCTCATTGGAGGAAGAGGTTGCGGATCTTCGCACCTCGGTGGATGGTCTACACACAAGGTTGGACGCCATGTCACAGCGGCAAGCTAGATCTGAGAACAAGTTTATGGCTTGGCTGCGTGCATTGGGAAGGGCCTGCCATGTCGATCCCAGTACCGTCTCCGACTCAGATTGAGTTTCAGGGAAGTTTT